TTTTATATGACTAGTATTACCTAAGTGTGAATATGTGCACTGCTTTTCTATGTCTTCAAGAAGTACTCCCCTTTAGCAAATTATTTTCTAACCTTCTCGGTATAGTCTCACAGATTCCTGTTCAGTCAGCTATAAGCTGGCATTGGGATGTCTGCATTTAGAATTCTATGAGCTTCAGCAGTTTATTTCATTTTGCAACCACTGCTGACCAAGAAATGTTTACTTATGTGATTTCTTAAAGTGCTCAAATTGCACCAAGTAGGCCTTGGAAATACATTACTGTGGTGGATGGTTATAAATAGTCAAATATAGGCCACTGTACCAGTTTGGGATGAAAGAAAATCAGCGGGTTAGACTTCATAAGAAAGCTTAAGTTTATGATAGCATAATGTAAGATTTTATAGTTGAGGTGGCACATGGGTTATTCAGTGGACCCCATATTTTATATATATGCTATCTGAAAACTAAGAAGAAATAAAATTCTTAGGACAGTACCAATTGTTAAGGTCTGCTATTGACACCCATGTGACCTGTTGTCGTCTCTGGGCATAGGTTGTCATGAAGCAGCACTGTTGAATTAACAATATAGAAACTATGTGCATCTAAAATGGGTACACTTCTGGCTCTTACAGTTCACCAACCTCTGGTAACCAGAAACCTACGTTCTAATCCTTCTTACTCATTGTAAAACGGTGTGCTAAAATGATATCCACTTATTGTGAGACATGGATAGACAGAATACACAAGCACTTAGCATATATTTGCAATGCTAGTGAACCTCAAGGGTTCTATTTGTTCAGTAAATAGTTTATCATCATTAATTTTAGTTGTCTGTGTATATGCTCAAAAATATTAAGACAAGGCAAAGATTTGAGAAGATAAAGTGGATAGTTGTTTATATTGATTTCATTACAAAACATGAAGGCCATTATATTTTTATATACAACTGCTTGTGGATGAGTAATTTGTGTTTTCTTCAGGCAACACCTAGTTCCTTTCATATCTTTGTTATTTACTATGAATTTTTTATTCAGTCCATGAATTTAAAAGATTTCTACAGTGCATTAATTTAAAACATTTCTAAATTATAAATATTAAGGACACAGATGTCATTTTTGATAAATTCAGGGTGATATACTTAAAAAGGAAGTAAATGTGGGGAAATTAAGATATTGACAGCATGATTTTTGTACTCTTGGATTATTAGGAGATATACATTTTGCAGTGAAGTCTTCAAAGTTTTGACCCTGTTACCGAAATGGAGCTGACAATTACAAAAGGCAGCTTCAGGGGATGGAATGATTCATTGGCATTGAAACTAGGGCATCTGCTCTGTTTCGAGTATCCATTCTGTTTAAGCAAATCTCAGGGGTCTCACAGTTTGATATGGATTCACAGACCAGGACCTTCATTTCTACTGTTTTGTCACAAAATTCACATGAATATTATTCATAACCACTGTAGAGAAGAAAATATTTAAGAAGTTCAGTATGTGGCAGAACACTAATTGTCCTTTATATCTAACCTGCTATCTGTTTTTTTAGCAAGAGATAGTATAAATAAGTGTCAGTTAAACAAGACACAGACCTTTACCTGTGAGCTGAAAGTTCTATTAAATTAAATATGGTGCATTTAAGGAAAAGTAAGTATGCTAATTTGAAGAATATTACTATGCCAATACATTAAGTTAATGAAGTCTGCTATGGCAATGACAGTATGGGGATGTAAAATATTCCCACCGGAATATTTAAATATTTAAAGTAGCTCAAACTTTGAGTTACTTTCGTGTGCCCTCACTTTTCTTGGTTTATTTTTCACCATAAGGCAATACATGCATTTGGTAGACTTGAGACTGTGAAAGCATTTGCTCAAAAGCCACATCAGAATAAACAGTGTTTGCTCCTCTGTATGTGCTTGCTTGCTGCAACTATGCTTTTCTGAATGCATAGGCTCACCATTATGTTTAATAATAACTCTTTAAAACATAAACTTTTTAAAATCAAAGAATATAAAAAAACAGCTGTGTCTAATAGTAGACTGATTACTTTTTGATTCTCTTTAACATAACTAACTACGACAACTTGGCTCCGTTTCAGCTGAAAATGCATTTCTATAACACGAAGCTGGCATTTTTTTTTGTAATGATTGTAATGAAGGCAAATGTTACATGTTAATATTTCCATAAAACTGAAGTGAACTTAAGAAGAATCAAAGGCATTTTCATTTGACTTGGAAGAAACAAAACCACCTTGATTCAGTAGAATTTTGCGATGATTGAAATATGTTGCCTTTGATTTACCACAGTGGTTACATATGTAGAAATTAATTATCCTTTATGGGGACAAAGGCAAAGGGGAGTTGCAATATTGTAAAAGGCCATTGTTCCATCTGGTCTGACTGTGTGCCTGGAGCCAAGTAATTTTCTTTTACATCAATCCTATATTACAATCATATTACTTTTGCTGAGTTTAGAGTCCCTATGATACAATTTTTATAAGCAGGTGGTAGTAGGAATTGGACACTCACCAATAGAAAAACTGGTATATGCCACCAAAAATTAAAATTCTTGTTCAGTAATTCTGGGATGCTAAGGATATCAGTAACTATAGACTGGTAACAGAATCAGATTTATCTTTCATAGAATTACTTCCACCAATGTTTTAAATTATATATGTAATTTAGAGTTTAAAGAATATGAAAGATTATATTTAAAGATGTGTTACTTTAAAAAAACAATAGTAATCATATTCAGTATTGTTTTTGACCTTTATTCTTATTTTTAAATTTATAGGAGAGACAGAAACAGAGGAAAAACACTTTCATCTTTATTTTGTAAATGTCCAGAACAGCTGGGACTGTATCAGCTGTGGCTGCTGCCTACACATTGAGTCCACTTTTCTCATTTGCGTGCAATGATTCCAATGATGTGATCCATTAAACCACATCCCGGGGTCTGTATAGATAGGAAGTTGAAGTCGTGACAAGGAGCATGTACCTAATCCAACAACTCTGACAGGGACTCGAATATTTTAACTGGCATATTAACTGCTAGATCAAACACCCCTCATTTTAATTGTATATATTTTCAAACATGTATGTTGTTTGCTATTTAAATTTTAGAGCCAGTAAAATTGTGGGTTATGACTTAAACTTCTTTAATTTCCTTTTTTTACTTGTAGAAAATCAGTGACTGTTGACTAGTTTAATCTGAAATCAAAGGCTACATATATAGTCATATCCAATAATATCACAACTGAAAGCACTAATACTATTTAAAAATGTTCATTACAAATAGAAATTTCCAATTTGGCTAGCAAATGTCAGGTTCAAGTTTCTTTTTAGTAGAGCTACAGAAAAGCAACTACTTGGAAGCATGATATAACCAAGCATGACTTAATGTTACTAGAAAACATGTTTTATGTATTTCAGGAAAAAAACACATATTCACTGCAGTTTGAATTTCTATTTTACTCAAGTGCTCATAACTCTCCTTAAAATACGTTTCAGACAAAAACACTTAATGATTCCCTTAGCTTAAATTCGACTTCGCAGGCTGCACCTCATTTTTACCTAAATTTTTCTGTAGCTGCTGGAATCTCCAAGGAACATCTCTCCATGGAGACAGAGCCAGACGGCCCGAGTCTCTTCGCTGTTCTTGAGTTCCTGTTTTCAAGTAATGATTCAGATAAACTAGGATCAGTTTCCTTCCCTGAAACTCTGGCAGCTGAAATTAATTCTCTGAAGACTCCTCTTCTGAGGCTAGCAGATGGTACACGTGCACGTGTTTTAGTTTTGATTGTACCAGTTCTGAATAATTTAAAGTTCCAAATCTCTATAAAACTACTGTATTCCCATTTCCCAATACAATTTTTTTTTCCTTTTGCCTCAGAAATTCCTTCATTATATTTTGACATTTGGCTAAAACTTCGTTCATTTTGTACTGGCTTCATTGTCACACGCATCCTGCTGTTCTTTGTTACAGTTTTAGATAAGTATGGCTTTGGAAAACTAAGATGCTTTTAGAAACTATTCTGCTGGTGATTTTCCCCTTACCATTTGCAAAGTATTTTGTATACTTAAACAGCACATTAGCCAAATGATGTTGTTATCACAGTTCCTGTTGGTCTGCGCTTGGCTCTCGCTTTAGAATTACCCCAAATAGGTTTGCAGAGTTTTATGGTTGCAAAGTCAGGCACTCAATAATGTGTATGAACTTAGACATTTTTTCACCATTTTTTTGCCCACTCAGTTTGAGAATCTGCGTATTCCAGTTGAAGATTCACTGCCACCCTAGGTGCAAGGTGCACAAGTAAGCAACACTCAAAAAAAAAATGTTTAAGCAATTTAGGACTTTTCCATCCAAATTTGAAGTTTCTTATTTTCAAGTTGAAAAAGTATACAACCTATAAAATAGATTTCTGTGCCACCTAGTGATTTGTGACATGATTTGTGTACTCACACTAAAATACTTCAACACATCCAGTTAACTAGCTGAGTCTGAGGACGCCTATACTGCAGATACTAAAGTCACGTTTTAGCTGAGCTTCACCAGGTTTGATCTCCAATATATTCTTTCCCTTCCACGGCTAATTTTCAAGAACAATTATCAACTAAAACATGCTTTATCAGTACAACGCTTCATCAACAAAGGAAAAAAAAATTAAAACATTTTCAACTTTGAATAAGATATTAATCTCGTCTTTGAAGTTGGGATGGTATCACCTGCACCTGGTGCAAAAGTCTAATTGTGGGGAGCAGTGCACCGGGAGCCTACCCCACGTGTATGAAGGGCCATCACAAGATGGCGGCTGGCTGAGGGCCAAGAGGCGGGGTTTGTCCTGCCAGCAGGTAAACAGGAAGTTGCAGGGATAGGCTAGCGATTATGTCATTGCTATCAGCCTATCAGGTAGCGCCCAGTGGACCCAAAGAGAGAAGTGATTGGTGGAGAACTATATAAGCAGCCTACTTTTGGCAATAAACCTCTTTTCGTTCGCCTGCCCCTTTTCGTTCGTCCTTCCTTTCCTGTTCGCCTGTTCGTTTGTGCGTATGTGTGTGCGCTCATTCTTTCAGTGTGTGTACCAGTTGCAGTGGCGGTTCCAGGCCCTCGAGATACCTCGTCATTTTAGTGTCACCACAGGACGGCCACATTCTGGTGGCCTGTACGAAGAATTTTTCAGCCTGTGCTGGCATAAGAAAAGCGGCAGAGGGGGAATTTCCTGGCCTGCGCTGGCGTAAGTGTATAAAGTGAAAGTTACTTTATTTTCACCTTTGAGGCGGTTAAGTGGTTTTAGCCCAAAGAGGCGAAATATTACCCCGGAAAGCGGATTTTAGCCCTAAGAGGTGGCGTTTTTTTTTTATTTTTGAGAGGTAGCAGGATTGTGCTCCATCTTATTCACTCAGATGGGGTCTGAGGTTTCACGTGCCCGCAAGGAGGAGCCGTTAAAGGGGTTGGTCCTCCGTTTGTGTTTCTTGTTAGCAATGTTAGGTAGGGATTTGCTTACTTGTGGAATAGATTGTTTTCTTTCAGAATGTTGGAATACAACCGAGTGCCCACTGGCTGTGGTGATGTGCGTGCCCACCTATTTTCCCAGACCGATGACAGTTAAAGAAGTAGACCTATTAGTCCTCCTGCGGAGAGGGCACGACTTGGGGGTTACCGCTGCCACTGTGACAGCAATTGCTACAGCTGCCGCTGCTGCCACCTCGGCCATTGCTGCCCTAGTGACTGCTGTACCGGCGACTATGACGGCAAATGCTCTGGCACAGCAGACCTCTGTGGTTCTTCAGACACAGGAGCAGTTTAGCCAACATGTTTGGACTGCTTGCTAATTATGAGCTAATGAGTGGACATGTTACCTGAGGTCCTCTCAGTTTCCAATTTTCAGCTATTCTATTTAGAAGCCGTTTGGTTTATTTCAATGGGACCTGAGATGTTTAGTTTGATAATTTGCATGCTGGAGAAGCTTTTGGTTTATTTGAATGGGACTTGAGATGTTCAGTTTGATAACTTACATGCTGGTTGCATGAAAAAATTGTAACCATTATTGCCACCTGAGTTGAGGTGGCTGCTGTGAAAACAGTGGGTTTGTCATTGGTACAATCTGTGGTCCATTGGGGCAGACATTGGCTTGGGTTTTTGTCCTTTGGAGGGTTATTGTGCCTCGTGATCTTCCTGCTTGTCTGGGTTAAGTGCCTGAGACATCGGCAAGATAACACTACTATGTGACAGGCCCTGATGGCCTTGGGAGCAGGGGCCTCCCCCTTAGTATGGTTAAGAATACTAGACTGGTAGTCAAAGATGGGTAAGGCCTGTGGGGACATGTACCAACCTAAGACAGGGCGTAGAGCTGGAAGCTCTGCCACCCAATGACGGGTAAGGAGGTAGTCCTGCTGTGGGCGACCTAAGGCAGGCATGGCCTTGGTTAAATAAAAAGGGGACAGTTGTGGAGAGCAGTGCACCGGAAGCCAACCCTATGTGTATGAGGGGCTGCCACAACGTCCTGCCAGCAGGTAAGCAGGAAGTCGCAGGGATAGGCTAGTGATTATGTCATTGCTATCTGCCTATCAGCACCCAGTGGACCCACGGGGAGAAGTGATTGGTGGAGAACTATATAAGGAGCCCACTTTCAGCAGTAAACCTCTTTTCGTTCGCCTGCCCCTTTTCGTTCGTCTTTCCTTTCTTGTTCGCCTGTTCGTTTGTGTGTGCGCGCACGTGCGTGCGTGCGCGCTGGTGGCGGTTCCAGGCCCTCGAGATACCTCGTCATTTTAGTGTTGCCACAGGACGCTGACATCTAATGGCTGAAATCTTCAACCTGCATGCTACAGGATCACATACAGGTGCCAGTTCATGTCCCAACTACTTTTACTTTCTATATAGCTCCCTGATGGTGGCATAGGCAAGGAATAGAAAATGGGCCAAAGCTGTGGATCATTGCACCTGTGTGGGAGATCTGGAAGAGGCTGCTGGCTCCTGGCTTTGTATAGGCTTAGTTTCAGCCATTGTGCTACTTTATGAATAAACCAGCAGATGGAAGATCTTTCTCTTTGTAGATCTGCCTTTCCAACAAGAAAACAAACATTTTTTAAAAGAAATAGTGTTACTTATGATATGTAATTATCCTTTACCAAATAATATTTATATATTTTATAGTTCACACAAACCTCATAACAATTATACCACTTTTTTTTTTTTAAGATTTATTTTTATTATTTTCTCATTGGAAAGGTGGATATACAGAGAGGAGAGACAGAGAGGAAGATCTTCCGTCCGATGATTCACTCCCCAAGTGAGCGCAACGGCCAATGCTATGCCAATCTGAAGCCAGGAGCATCTTCCGGGTTTCCCACGCGGGTGCAGGGTCCCAAAGCTTTGGGCCGTCCTCGACTGCTTTCCTGGGCCGCAGGCAGGGAGCTGGAAGGGAAGCGGGGCTGCTGGGATAGAACCGGCGCCCATATGGGATCCTGGGCGTGCAAGGCGAGGACCTTAACCACTTGCGCCACCGTGCCGGGCCCATTTATACCACTTTTAGTCACTATATTATGAATGAAGTTATGCTGTATTTTGTACACCACCCATTCAAGTAAGAACATGAGCACTAAGTAATGGTATCCATTCTATTCTTTTCCCATGCAAAATAGAACAAAGAGGATGTATTTACAGAGCAAGTAAATGGATTGTTCCTAGTATTATATTCCATTATTGTAAAGATAGTACTATTCAAGAAATAGGATGAAAAGCATAATGTTTTTGTTGTTTGTAATGGGAATTTAGGAAAAAAGAAACTTAGAACAACTGAAGAGAGTCTCAGAACTCTTACATACTTGACAGAATACTTCCCTAGGGACATTAACAATTGCTTTGCAGAATCGGCAAATACATAACCTTCAGTAGTGTTTTGTCTTTCTGGATTTCAACCCTACAGGTGAGGTGACTTCCATCACTTCCCTTGAGGGATAATTCCATAATCCAGCAACTTTGACTGCTAGGAAGTTTCTCAAATAAAATTTTTTATCTAACACAAGTTCATTTAATATAGTTGCACTGAATCTGAGCACATCATTTAATGATTTCTCATTCCCACTGAAGGATACACTTTTTTAAAAAGATTTATTTATTTTTATTAGAAAGGCAGAAATATACAGAGGAGGGAGTGAGGAAGATCTTCTGTCCACTGATTTACTTCCCAAGTAGCTGCAACGACCAGAGCCTAGCTAATCTGAAGCCAGGCACCTGGGGCCTAATGGTATCAAATATCTGTCGTGCAGCTTATTTTTATTACAATTATTTTGATTGGCAGTTTAGAACACAAAAAAAACAAAGCACAGATACGAAAATCTGATTCTGAAGTAAGGCAACCCACATGGAATTTTAAAATCCCTAAAATATTAGGGTAAGTTATGTCTGAAAGAGTACATTCCTACACAGGAAAAGATTTAAATATCTCTGCAATATCCTCAAGGATATTTACACAGAACAGGAAAACACTGACTTGAGAGAAAGTACAAATAAAATAGGAAAAATATATAGGAAATATAGGATTACTACTGCTAGTCCTAGAACTCTTCAGAACTTCACACGTGGATAGGTAATTTCCTTGCCTGCCATCAAGTAGTTATGCCTGTTTGGTTTTGCTACCGATTCTTATGGAAGCTTTCTAAACTGCTTTCCTTACTGCGCCTTCATGATTTATACTTTTAACATTCCACTTTATTTTCTTTAAGCAAAATTGCTTATATTGTGACATGCCATGTCTTACACGTGCTAATTTAGTATATGGCTTCAGTGTGCCATGGTTTATAAAAGGCTACACATTGCAAAGCTCAACAGAGCCTATCTTGCTGGAAAATTGCTTTTATATTTAACTTGCACTAATGTTTACTTTGTACAAAAAACAATTATTAGATGTTTATGTTGTTCAGGAAAGATGTTATGTTCTTGTTAGTTACACTTCCTGTTTATATCTACCATGAGAGACTATGTAAATAAATGTGTTTCTGTGCATATTTAAAATTAGAAAATAGTAATGCACAGAGTCTGTGCTGAGGCATAGGTAGCAGAGGGCAAGAAAGGGAAGTGTAGAAATACAGGGATGGGACAAGGTTTTTTTAGCTCATGCTTCATTTCAGTGTTCACTAGAAACAGCTTTTGCCAAATACCTCAAATCTATTTCCAAAGTTGGAGCTGTGTGTGGAAACCCTTAATGCGTGGAACAATCTGATGTGTTCCAAGGATGACAACCATTTTGTGTTTCTGAATACAGGACACACTGGTGTGTGTTTACGAAAAGCGTTCTGGTTAAAGCTGAAAAATGGGAAATGGTCAAATGTATATCACAGAAAAACTGGCCATTTTTAATATCAGGTTCCCAAAAAGGATGGCTCCCCTCCTACCAAATCTAGCATCTCCTAACTTTTCAAATAAATGTGTTTTGCAGCACAATTGAACTTGCTGAGATATTGTGTATAATTACTTTATTATAAATACAGTTGATATGACAGACTCTTTAGCTTGTTAAGCTTAAAAATAACTGAGATTTTAAAGAGCAAATTTCCTGACTATTGTTTCAAAAGACATAAAACCCCCAGAAGATTCAAGCCAACAGACAATGACTGCTCCTTGCTTTCATGAAGTGCAATTCTATGGCAAGAGCACCTTAGAAGGGGGAGTTGAAAACTGAATAGCTTGTTATATACTAAATTGTTTGTTTAATGTTTTTTACCCCATCCTGTTGTTTCTATTTTACCTTCAAATTAAACTCCTTTATGCACTACTACCACCAGATATGTATCCTCTTACTCAAAATATGAACTTCTAAAAATTTTAATGGGTAGGCTTGGAGAAAATCAGTAGTTTCTCCAACTACTGGTTTCTGAGGCCATTCATTATCTATGGTATGTTAAACCTGAATTCTCATAATTATTATGTTCCTTTTATATTTTTAATATAGAATCAGCAGTAGTAGAAATAGTTATTTATTCTTTGTTTTATGTGAAGGGTTTTGTTTATACAAATTTAATATGAAAGTTTCTAATATTTAAAGGAAATATAATATCATTCTAGTTCAAGATTCCACAGTATATTCATATTAAAATTGGGCCAGAGATTTTCTGCTGTAGGAGGGTGTTATATTGTAACATATCCAACAGCAGCCATGGCCTCTAAAAAAAAAACTTAATTTGTCCAGACAGTAAATATCTCTGGCAAAAAATGTGTTGCTGGTTATAAGTCATAAAAGCTTCTTCCTTCCTGTTCTATATTCTCAGAATATATCTCTGATAAAAAACAATAATAATCACAAGTTGAAATCACAAGCTAATATTGATATTGGCATTGGAATCAAACCATACTGTGTCCCAGTCTATTCCTGAAAATTGACTTTATGTTGTGACATTTTGAATTCTTATAAAATCTTCATCTTAAAACAAAGTATCAGATTTCAGTTTTCTCATTTTTATGTTCCTTCATTGTAGTTTACTGACCTTTTCAGTATTCTAAAGATTTTGAAGGAGCTGACCATTCCTCTCTCTTTCTGTTAAAAAGTTACAACAACCTGTTACTGGGATAGAAATGATTGGCCAACCAAGATAAAGAATTTTAAAAAGGTCAAGTGGTTCAACAGACCATATATTGTATGGTCTTTCTAAAGCATTTTGAATACGAGCTTTAACATTTTTTAAATAAAATCTAATACAGGGAATAAAAATAAATATTATGGTTTATTTCTCTTCCTCCAGTCAAACTAGCTTGTTACTGTGGTCGCTTGGTGTTCAGTTTAAAGCACTGAAACTTATGCAATCCTCTGTCAGAATAACAGTTTTTGATTGTTAGGAAACTGATCTGCCTGAGTTCTGAAATAAGTATATCTCTGTGAGTCTACTCTACTTTATACAATTTCTAAACAAAAAGGTAAAACTCATTCAACTATAAGCCATTGCAATTTCTGCTTCTTCAGCGATACTGTGGGGATTTTCATTTAATAAAGTGTCAGCATCAACAATAGCATTTTCAATGAACATCTAGTTTTTATTCTTACATACATAGCCAGCAAATTTAAAGTCTAGTTTTGCATATTCAGTGAAGAAAATGTGTTTGGGAGGGGCGATGGGAAAGGTGAAAGAGCTTCCTCACACTTTGTTGAGTTGGAACGAATTTAAATTACATAGCTATCAAAGAATCAAATGCATAAAAACACAATGCTTGTTCTAGCACCGGGATTTTCAAATACAATATTTTTGACATATGTAAATGACATGAATTCTTGAATATAGCAATCATGTAAAACTGTGTCTTGTCTTTTTGTGTTTAGTACCTGGAAACATCAAGGGAAACAGCTGCTGCCTGAATACTCAACTGTACAAATACTGAATTCAAACAAAAGGTGGGAATTGTATATCAAAATGTATTTTCGGCTTACAGCATGTGAATCAGTTTACAGGTGTTGTGGGAACCGAGAGGGGAGTGGCAAGAATAACGAAGAGTTAAAAAAATATTTTGGCACAAGTCTTCTTTGTATAAGGAAAAAAAGACTTTTTTTCTTAGATTGACATCTAACTTTTTAAAGATTTTTATTGGAACGTCAGATACACAATGAGGAGGAGAGACAGAGAAGAGATTTTCTGCCCGTTGATTAACTTCCCAAGCTGCCTCCATGGCCAGAGCTGAGCAGATTTGAAACCAGGAGCCAGGAGCCTCTCCTGCGTCTCCTATCCGGGTGCAGGGTACCAAAGGCTTTAAGCCATCCTGGACTGCTTTCCCAGGCCATAAGAAGAGAGCTGGATGGGAAGCGGGGCTTCTAGGATTCGAACCAGCGCCCATATCGGATCCCAGTGCATTCAAGTTGAGGTCTTTAGCCACTAGGCTATTGCACTGGGCCCTGAACTTTTAATGTTTAAAAAATGTAGTAAATTTTTACTATTTAGTCAACATGTTACTTTTGCTAAGACTGCAATTTTCTGTAATAATATGTCAGAACACTTGTTTTACAAAGGTCTACCCAGAGTTCGTTCTTTAAAAGAATAAAAGAGCAGTTTTTGGCTGAAGTTGAAGTGTTGCCAGGAATACTGGGTGTGAGTTCCTGCTCAAATGCCTGAATTTGAGTCTGTGCTTCATTTTAAGTTTGCACACTGCAGGAGACCGGAGGTATTGGCTCAGATACTTGGGTCACTGCCACCCACATGAAAACCTGAACTGAGTTTCAATCCTGGCATTGGTGTGGTTCAGGTTCAGCTCATGTAAACATTTGGGGAATGAGCAAATAGATGGTATATCTTTTTTCTCTCTCTCTTTTATTTTAATGTCTCTTTGCTTTTCAAACAAAGAAAAAATACCAATTTTTTGTCATGATTTTTTTTTCCTAAATAGCACTATTTGCATATGGGTTCTTAAAAATAGAATTCAAATTATTGTAAGACAATGGACACAAATATGCCTTCAAATTTTAATATTTTTTAGTCTATCTGTCTGTCTATGGGGTATATGTATAAATGACATACACACACACACACACAGAGAGAGAGAGAGAGACTCACTGCCTTTCCCAGTGCACAAAAGTAGAACACTGGAATCAAGAGTGAGGTATTTTAGTGTAGTATGTCACATGCAGCATCCTAATTTCCAGTGAAAGAGCTTTCCCTTTCATTCCTTTTATTATTCTATTATAGGAATCTATAGGTATGTGTATGCATATACAAATATATATTATTGTCTCCTGAAGTACATGAAATAGGTAGCTTACTTTTGAATTAATTTTCGGTGCTTTATATTTTATGGATTTTAATAATAATACATGAGAATGTTTTCTATATGAAACATCACTGTCCTGGAATCTTGAATATTCATTCTCTTCATTGTCACACTGTCCCTTCGTTGGTAACTATTTGATCATTGGATATCCTCCATTTGGAAAGGTAGGGCATGCTGTGGTCTAGAATATCCTACAACTGGGGTTGTACAGAAAGATGGCTTTTACAGTAGGTTCTTCCATGTGCTAACACAAACTTAAGTGTTCTTCATGTCCTTTCATGGTTTGATAGCTCTATTTATTTATTTATTTTATGGAATCCGATTCCATTGTTGAATGCCTACAGGGAACAAAAGCATTGTGTGTGTAAACACCAATAACCAAAACTATAAAATTTTGTGGTAAGGATATGAGTAGCTTTATAAGAAACTGAAAAAAAAGTATCTTCCCAATTAGGCAAACAATTTATATTTTCACCAGCAACAAAAGAGTATTCTTGGAGTTCACTTTGTTGTCAGTGTTTCATAATGTCAGGATTACAGAATTTGACCATTGTGATATGTGTATAATAATATCTCCTTAACATTTTGTGATTTTCTTTTTTTTTAAGATTTATTTTTATTATTTTTTTTTTTATTGGAAAGGCGGATATACAGAGAGGAGAGACAGAGAGGAAGATCTTCCGTCCGATGATTCACTCCCCAAGTGAGCGCAACGGCCAATGCTATGCTGATCCGAAGCCAGGAGCCTCTTCCGGGTCTCCCACGCGGGTGCAGGGTCCCAAAGCTTTGGGCCGTCCTCAACTGCTTTCCTGGGCCGCAGGCAGGGAGCTGGAAGGGAAGCGGGGCCGCCGGGATAGAACCGGCGCCCATATGGGATCCTGGCACGTTCAAGGCGAGGACCTTAACCACTGCGCCACCGCACCGGGCCCACATTTTGTGATTTTCAAATGACACATCCTATTGTATATGTTTTCTGCTGATTGCTTTCCATATGCAACTATTTTTTGTGAGATGTTCATGTCATTTGCATTTTATTTAACTGCATTGTTCATTTTCTTATTGTTGGATTTTATGAGTTCTTGGTATATTTTGAATAACAATTTTGTTTTGGCTTTGAGTTTCCTGATTCTCTTGGCTTTGCCTTTTCTGTAGTAGCAGAGTTTTTTAAAAGTTGAGATGATTGGGCCCGGCGCGGTGGCGCAATGGTTAAGGTCCTCGCCTTGCACACCCAGGATCCCATATGGATGCTGGTTCTAATCCCAGCAGCCCCACTTCCCTTCCAGCTCCCTGCCTGTGGCCCGGGAAAGCAGTCAAGGATGGCCCAAAGCTTTGGGACCCTGCACCCGTGTGGGAGACCCGGAAGAGGCTCCTGGCTTTGGATTGGCATAGCATCGGCCGTTGTGCTCACTTGGGGAGTGAATCATCGGATGGAAGATCTTCCTCTCTGTCTCTCCTCTCTGTATATCCGCCTTTCCAATAAAAAAACAATAAAAATAAATATTTTTAAAAAAAGTTGAGATGATTTGTTAATTCACTATATTTTCAGGGTCATACCCAATGCATTGTAATAACTGTAACACAATTTTCATGTTAATGTGATACTAATGCAAAGAGAAAGATTCCATGAAATTCCTAGATAATATTCTAAGAATGTAAGGATTGTCCCTTCCTGTTTATGTCTGCATACATGTCTGCTTTCTCTCTCTTTCTCTCTCTTTGTATGAGACAGTAGGTTTTTATAAGGCCACCCCATCAATACTTTCTGTCAAGTATCATGATATTGGAGTTGTCCTATGTTGTCCTATGATTTTTTTATAGTTTTTCTTTGCTATTTTAACTATTTTGAATTAATTTCATAAATAGTACAAAGACTAAGGATTTTTTTTTTGCATGTTGAAAGCTGTGTTTTCCAACCTCATTTGTGGAAAGACTGACTTTTCTCTCTGTGTTGGTTTTGCGATTTATCAGTGATCAGTTTGCTATCCTTACCTGTGTCTGTGCCAGGACTATCCATTCTTTTCAGTCAGCACTCTATTATCTATTGCCTGCCTTACTACATTGATTATTCTAAGTTTATGGTAAGTCTGTTTTTTAGAAGATTTATTTTAATGCATTTGAAAGTCAGATTTATAGAGAAGTCATGACTGAAATTTGGTGCAACTCTAGTAAACTCCCCAAATGGCCAGAATGGCTGGGTGCTGAAACAATCCAAACCCAGGGAGCTTCTCCTTGGTCTCCCACATGGTTTTAGGATCCCCAAAACTTGGACCCTCCTTTGCTGCTTTCCGAAGCCATAAGCAGGAGTCTGAATCACAGATGGAGAAGCAGGGACACACTTATATGGGATACTGGAACCTACAGAGAAAGAATGAACCAGATGAGCCATTGTGTCGTTGCCTATAGTACATCTTAAAGCTGTGTTGGTATGCCCACATTAGTTCTTAGTCAATTTTGTGTTGACTGCCTGGGTCTGCATTTCTTAAAATAGCTCTGTTCCAATACATTAGATTTAGATACTGTGATATCAGTCTTTGTCCTCTTTTTTCTAATTCCTTTTTTATTTAAGGAAGAAAAAGTAAATTAAACCTGGTTCAGTGTGATTATAGGTAAAAGCCAAAAGCATTAATCAAACAATAATATCGTCATTTTACTCATTTTCATTAAATTTTAACCTAACTCCAGATCATTAAAACTTGTAATATGTTACTCTTAGACATTATTGGATACAGATATAAGCCAAAGTTTGATTAAAGTGCATCTGTAGCACAAGGTTGAAGCACCTAGGCCCAGAGACTGAAGTTGCCTTGGCCATGGATGTGGTGGTTGTAAATTGTCCCGGGAGGGTGTTTTGGGGACATGTGGGTAGGGGACCACTAAGGAAGTGCATTGTAGACAAAGAATGACTTCTGAAGGACTTCTGTAAACTGGGCTACTACAACTGTAGGTAGCTGAGGGTGCTAAGACTCGGTAGCTCCAAATGGAGGAGCTGGAGGACATGTCAGACCAGGACACCTGTCATTGTGACCAACTGGGACTGAGCTAGTTGGCATCAAAAAGAGCCCATAGGCACACACAAAAACTTAGCGCTTGGAAATTTGCTGCCTGGCAAGACTGGGTCATGGTACCCATGAGTGTTCAACAAGGGATGGGCAAGGTTAGTCTGGGTCATGACACTAACCAGCTTGCAAGAGAACAAAGTCTGGAGGCAAATTCTGTAGGGACTTCATGTGCTTATCCCTGTAGGACTGCAATACTTGCTGGTTTTCATGGTGAAAGTTACGTTAGGCATGACCACAGAACTCACCAACACTAATGAGTACTGGGGCTCACAGTAGATTGAATTGGCCCAAGCTGCAGCAACTACAGGCACAACCAAGAATTGGGTGTGGGGGACAGGCCAGAACGCAGCATATACCAGCGCTCACAAAGGCATGACTGGGGAGTAGATTATACTGAGAAGGGACCCTAACATCCACTGACATGCTTGAGTTTTGTTTTAGTTGTGGGCCTGGTAGTAGAACTTGAAAAACTCTCTAAATGGGCTGCAGCTCCCCCTGGATAGAATGAGAGTTTAAGCTGGGTATGAGCTAGAACAAGCCAGACTGTGCTAATTGTTAGGATGTGTGTGGACTAGTGGGGGTTGGGGAGGACAGATTGGGTAAGGCCAGGTGACTAGTAACATACATGGGTATTTATGGGAGCCAAGACGGTTGCAGCCCATTCTGGGCCAGGCCTTTGTACTGGCTTGTTTGCATGAGAACTGGGACTGAGCACAGAGTGGACAGGGCTAGAATGCAGTACCCACCAGCCAGAGTTGGGACTGGAAGTGGGCCAGGCCAGGCCAGGCTGCAATATCTGATAGTAAAGGCCAAGACAGAGGATGGGCTATGCTGGGCTGGGTCAGGACAACCATTAGCACTGTGGCTAGGAGTGCACCTGGTCAGAGAACTAGGGAGATGCCACAGCAGGGCCATGGTCCCTACTGGTGAGTACAAGAGCCAGAATGGGGGCAGCAAACTGAGCTAGACATGGATGCAACATTCCTCAGAATGGGCATGGGCTAGGTTTAGGGGTGCCAGACTGGACTATCTTGCAGCACCTACTACCACTCATGAAAGCTACAATATGTGTATGGCAGAATGCACTAGACCTCAATAACCACAAAACCGTGTGAGATCTGGGTCCTGTGATGGGCCAGGCAAAACTGGAATGTAGCACATAGCAGTGAAAGCTGAAATGATTGTGGACAGCATGGGCAAGGCCATTGTACCTGCCAGGGCAGCAGGTGGGCCAAGACAGGCTGTGTCAAGAATCCAGTGGTGTGCGGCTAAAGGCAACCTGATAAAGGAGCTTGGGGAGCACAAGAACCAAGGCTGGAGCAACCCAAATCAGGACACTGTTATAGTACCAACTAGTATACATGTGGCTTATGTCTGGGGGCAGGCAGGCTGGGCCAGTTCATAGAACCCATTAGCATATGTGAGAACTAGAATGGAGTGTGGAATA